CTGTTGCCGGTCATGAAAAAAAAAAAAAAAACCCACAGGCATTAAATCTTAACCTTTTAGAGAAGCCCTGGTTTCATTAATTCATGTGCCAAACAGTATACCCAGTGCTGGGGATCCAGCCGGGAAGAAAATCACTTATATCCACTTAAGCTTACAATCTCCTGGAGAAAAGAGATGAGTGCTACAAAGGAAACAGATTTCCACTTATGTTTACAAATGTGTGTGAATTTGTTTTATCAATACCTCTAGGGAAATAATCAGGTTGTCCACAAAAAGATATGTAAGAATGCTTATAAAGTTAGAGTCTTTGAAGAGCAAAACAAGCCAAGTAGTTGCTAGATTTCCAGAAGGAGCAGCTGCTTTAATACCTGTTCTGTGCCCCACAATACAGCTCTATGATGTGGGCTCACTCTTTTTACTGAAGTCTGAAACTCCACAGAAATATTCAGGTACTAAGCACCTAATTTTTTTCTTTTTTTGTTAAGTGTAAGTATTTGGAGGGTTACAACATTTATAATTCAGTACTGAGTTACTTTAATAATTTTGTTTTAAGTCAGCATCAGGTGAGGTTAGCTTTATTACTTGAACGGGCAACAGAATTTTGAAGTAGGAGGAGAGGAGATGATTTGGGAACATGAAGTATCTCTGAGGAAAGAAAAAGCAGATCTATGTAAGGATTTGAGACAGGAGAGGATATGAAGTTCTTGTAGGACAAGGAAGAACACTAGCACATAAAAAATGGAGTCAGAAAGACAACAGGAAAACATTAACAATAAGGTGCCTATTTCAAAATTTTATGTAGAGTTGGCCCTGTACCTACAAAAAGAGGAGGCATTTTATTTCCTTCTGTACCTCAGTTCCCACGATCCAGAAGTCAGGCTAATACTACTAAGATGATAATCTACTTCGACAACAGGAAAACATTAACAATAAGGTGCCTATTTCAAAATTTTATGTAGAGTTGGCCCTGTACCTACAAAAAGAGGAGGCATTTTATTTCCTCCTGTACCTCAGTTCCCACGATCCAGAAGTCAGGCTAATACTACTAAGATGATAATCTACTTCCTAGGAGCCAGAATTCAGACTAATACTACTAGGATAAAAACTTACAGATGGGCATGAGCACCTAACCCCATTTATAACATTTTAGATACTGCATACTATATTACAAACAACTTAAAATGAACATGTGTAATACAAATCACATATAAACTAAAACTACCCATAATTCAGTCCTAGATATGATGCACAACTAACCAATTCAGCCTCATTTGAAAACAGAATTTCTTTTTACTAAATTTCACCACAATGTATTTTTAAAGAGAAAATATACTAAGAAACTTTCAAGTTTCTTTTTATTTCAAATGATTAAATTAAATTTTCTTAATTTTATTTAGTTTAGTGTGGCTGTATTTTTGAAAGACAACAATTTAAAATTGTTTCTATAAAATACAGAATTATTATATAATTTGAGACTTAAAAATATGAATGTGAAGTAAAAGCCTGCTGTAGATCTTGGTTTTTATTTAAACAGCTAATCATAATGAGTTTTAAACACATCAAAAAAATCAACCAATACTGATAAAAGTACATAAGATTTAATACAAATCCTAACTTACCTGTAAATGGATCTGAAAAACTGGTGTTCCCAAGTCCCAACATTTGACCTTTTGTGTTATCAATAATAAATTTAGCCACTTGATCCAAAAACATGGGATTCAAATCATTCTTCTGCAAGAAGTTGTATGCAGTTAACCAGGGATCATCACTGGTATTATACGGCAATTTATATGATGGTCCACCTTCATTGACATCAATTGAGAAAACATAATCAAATTCCTATAACAGAAATATAAAGGAGATAAATGATTACCATCTGTTCATATATATTAATGACATATGTAACATAACACAGGTGTTATGTGTTCTTTATTTTAATAATTATAGTACTTAAACTTTCTCCAAAATGCAATGCAAAAATCTTCCTCTTTGGCAGATAAGATTAACAGCAACCATCTTCATGTGCTGCAAGATTACTATTTTACTGAGAATGAGGGTAGGGATGGGGATGGATTACAACTACACATTAATTCTAAGTACAAAGGAGGGTTTCCAACTGGTTGATCTCAAAAAGGATCAGCCAAAAACATCAGCTGTTACCATGCCCTACTCACCAAAATATGCTGGTATTATAGGCAATGCCCTGCAGGATTGCTCATGTCATGTCAAGTTAAATATAGCCAGGCATGAGGCTTTAGATAAAAGGTGGCACAGAGGCTCCTAATCCAAAATGATTAGGAACAATATATGAATGGGAACTCCCTAAAAGACAGATAATAGCTAATTTGTCTATCAAATGCAGCTCCCTCTATATGAAAAGATTTTTTTTTTAAGCCCATTTCAAGAAAGGAAAAAAATATAATTTTCCCACAGTAATGTATTTTTAAATGTCAAAAAAACCAAAGAAAATTTTATCAGCATGAGGAAAAGATTTAATTTGCCTAATGATTTAAGATAATGGTAATTAGAAAGAAGTCAACATACTTTCCCTTCATATAAAACTTTTCCAGATGTTTGCTGATTAGCACCAGATGAGCCAACAACATCACCAATTTTTATCCACCTCCCTTCACTAACACTCCACTGATAGGCTTCGACTTTCTCCCCATCTCTGATTAGACGAGTTTGTCCTTCTCTAGTACCTTAAAATAAAAATTTTAAGAATCAAAGGTAGAATGGCAGAGTAAAATTCAAAAACATTTAGATAGAAAATTCTTAACATTAAAATTTACACATAAAACAGAATATATATTTTGGTTTAAAAGAAAATTTTATTAAACAAAAGATTTTAAAATGTAATTCTACTAGAAAGTGACCAAAAGAAAATAACTATTAAAAGAAAATTTTATTAAATAAAGGAAAATTGACAAAACGTGATTCTACTAGAAACTGGTCCATCAAAAATGAAACAAGTTTTATTACTGAGTATCTGCTGCCAACACATTTTATTTCAGTAAATGGCTCTCGAGTGGCTCAAGGCCAAAAAGTAGAAGAGTTGATACCTGTTTCTCTCAGCCCTACAGCCAATCCTTCAGCAACTTTTATCAGCTCATTCTCTAAAATATATCCAGAAAACTATATCTTCTCAACATCTCCATCATTATCTCCTGGTACAAGCCACCATCATTTTTCAGTTGGATTGATTCAATGGTCTCCTACCCCTGCTCTTGGCATTATATATTCAACCCAGCAACCACAGGAATTGTAAGAGTTTAAGTAAGTCCTGACAGTCTTCTGTTCACAACCCTTCAATGACTTCTCATCTTACTCTTGGTAAAGCCTAAATCCTTGGAGTAGTATACAAGACCAGTATATTCAACCCAGCAACCACAGGAATTGTAAGAGTTTAAGTAAGTCCTGACAGTCTTCTGTTCACAACCGTTCAATGACTTCTCATCTTACTCTTGGTAAAGCCTAAATCCTTGGAGTAGTATACAAGACCAAACATAAACTGCCCCCATCCTCTCTGACCTTACCTTCTACTGGTTTCTACCATCCCCTCATCACCCCACTTCAGCCACAGAGCCCTTGCACTGGCTATTCATTCAGTCTCTGACACCCTTCACACAGATGTTGGCAAGATTTGCTACTTTGTTTCCTTAAGGACTTTAATCAAATGTCACCTTCTCAGCAAGGCTAAAACTGTCCTCCAAAGATTCCTGATCGTCTTCCAAAGGGCAGAACTGTAGCTTTCTAGCCAGAGACATTAACCAGTCAGTCCCCTTGCATCCTTTGATGTCACATTACTGAGTAATGGTCAGTGGAATCTGCGTGAGTATGATATAGGCCAGTTCTTGTCTAGTTCATCATCCTCTAATCTACCCTCTTAACCTGTCTCAATCTGTTGCAATTTGTTGTTTTGGATGAAGTAAATAAAGAAAATCCAGCCTCACACAGATAGGTAATTCAAAAAGAGGACTAGTTAAACAGCCTTTTCAGAAAATGTAGATATTTTACAAGTAATTGTTCCTTAAAGGCTACATTATAGAATCTGAAACTGTATCAATGAATCTTTCATGCTCTATTACATTAAAATCCATTGGTCTATCTTACACTTTGAATGCATCTTTTCCCCATGTATGGGTTTGTAACATCATGTACTGGTAAGCTGGAAAACATTGGTTCACTCCCTCATGCAGATCTTCTGCTTATTTACACATTACTCAACATCAAAAAATCGCATTTGTTGATATTACCACTGAAAGCATTAGAACAGTCTTTAAGTATTGGGAAGCTATCAAGATCCTGGAGACAGATAAAAATTTTCCAAAATTTTAATTTTCACTTGAAAACTCAAATTTTATCTTTGGCAACAAATATTGTCAGTTATTTTCCTTAAAGTGACATGCTCACTTTGTTCATTTTCAAAAAATGTCTGCCAATACTCAAGCCTGAATAACCACAGTCATTCTTTCAAATAAAAATGGTATTCCATGAAAAAGGGGGTAGTTCAGCCTGCAACTCAAATGACTACACAAGTGCTTTTCCTTGAGACATCATGGTATTTTGGTGTAGTTTATGTGTACTTTACATTTTGTCACCCACATTTAAAAAGATGTGTACTAAAAGGTCAAGATGTAAATATATTAATAATTTTTAATGCTTCATCAAGGATATTCTTTTTTTTTTTTTTTCCTTTTTGTCTTTTTTCGTGACCGGTAACGGGATCACAACCCTCAGTGTCGCACCCGCACCAACTGGCAATGGGACTGCAACCCTCAGTGTCGCGCCCGCACTGCGCTCAACCAGTGAGCTGACCGGTCTCTATATGGAATCCGAACCCTTGGCGGGAGCGCCGCGGCACTCCCAAGCGCCGCACTCTACCGAGTGCACCACCGGGCCAGCCCCATCAAGGATATTCTTAAGGGCAAATAGGAATTTGTTTTTTTTTTAAACTACAACTGCATGACAGTAAAGAACACAATAACTACTGTAACACTTTCATGCCACAGCCTTAATTTATGAGCTAAGGAGCCAGCAGTTTTACCCACCATTGCTTTTGTACCATAGTGCAAACATTAACATAGTGTAAAATGTCAAATAACATCTAGTATTATAAAATTAGTTTTGACCTCATGGATGTCCTGAAAGTATCTCAGAAGCCTCAGGCGGTCCATAAACCAAGCACTGAGAAGCACACACATAAACAGGTCAGGGATATATCCAACACAAGATTTCATTTGAGATGACTTTTGTTCTCTGATTTCAAACTCAAATAATGCCCAACTCATTAAACAGACATTGCTTTATTTTAACTCATTTTTATGTTTAGTCTGTAAAACCTCTCTTAGGGAATCCAATCACTCAAAAAGTATTAAATGAATGACTTTTGAGTGCCTTCTATATATGAGCTATGTGTTGGGAGGTTTTGGGTTTTTTTTAAATTCCTGTTTATGCAAAACTTAAAGTCTAAACTATGAGACAGAGGCAAGAAGAACATGGATTTTTATAGCGGTTTTGTGTGATGTTAAAAATTCTAAAAATCAGTATCTGGCAGTGAGAGTAATACTGAAACACTAGCAAAACATTTTATTCTTATCACTCTTAATATCCCAAAAGGCAAATATGGCATTTTTTACTACTAGATACACTGAAATATTTACCAGATTCATTCAGATGTTCCCTCCCAGGAAGCTGCTCAGCATTAATGTCCCCTAAATCACCAGTTTTGGAATCAATAGTTGCCTGGGAGAGCTCTTTTTCAAAAGCTTTGATTTCCTCAGCACTTGCTATCCGATCTTCTGATTCTGTAAACACTCTAATAATACCATCACTATAAGGAAAAATGAACTGATTTTAAAAGTCATTGCCATAGTGTATTAACATTCTCACACCTAAATGATCCAAAACAAAAATAATCTGTATTTGTGAATGAGAAATATTATTATGTATTTACTACTGAGTGTAGCACTATGCTGACTTCAGCACAAACTACTCTCTATTATTTCAACTATTTAAGAAATAAGTTACTTGCAAAGGACAGAGAAATATATATTTAGTACGATTCTCAATTCCAACTTAAATATTTACCATCATAACAATCTAGAGATATAGTATATACTTTTAAAGTCAACATTACATAGGTATTATGGTACAGAGAAGAGTAGTGGACTGGTTTACTTTATACAGGGCTCAAAGTTCCAACATAAGGCTTATAAAATAGCAGATGTTCAACAGGGAAACATGGTCTTTCTTTACTATGCCAGTAATTAGCAATATAACCTCAAAGAAAAACAAAAACAAAAACAAAACAAAAAAATCAGCCTTGTATTTGGCCTAGATGGCAGTCCTCAACCTCTGTTCTCAAAAAAATTACTTCACTTCCATGGTTTATCAATTCTAAAGTTTCAGGTAGGAGACCCAATTTAGCTATTTTCCATTGTATTAATTCTATGCAATTCTACAGAATACTTTGTTTCTTACTTAACCTTCCACTAACATCAACATTGCTCTTTCAATTGGTTTATTTTTCCTTCAACTGCAAATATGCTTAGGGGGGAAAAAAGCAAATCAACCCCTGCTCCAGCCAAAAAATAAAATACCTCTACTTTATTAGACACTCTATGAAAAAAGTAAACCAGCAAATCAACCCCTGCTCCAGCCAAAAAATAAAATACCTCTACTTTATTAGACACTCTATCCTTATAGCTGTCAATTTCTTTTTCTTCTTGCCTTCAATGTCAGTCATCTATAAACCTTTCCTTTATCCATCTCCTTAAGTAACCCTTTATCTCCTCTTATTTACCATTTTTTCTATCATTTTCTACCAAAATGTGATGTCAACCAGTCATCTATAAACCTTTCCTTTATCCATCTCCTTAAGCAACCCTTTATCTCCTCTTATTTACCATTTTTTCTATCATTTTCTACCAAAATGTGATGTCAAGAGTCACTCATAACAGCTTTTAAACCAAAACCAAATACTTTTCTAAATTTCCATTTCATGACCCCTTAAGCATTTTTTTACCACTGATGATCATCTCCCTCTAAAATCTCTCATTTTCCATCTCCCTGAATTGTGACATCAGATCCCTTTGTTCTGTTTAACTTGCTGGCTTATCTTTCTCTATATACAATATATCACAAGATTCAGTTCTTAGCCTTCTATTCCTCTCTATATTTCTTCCCTCAGAGACAGGTATGCTGTAGCTTGCTTTTGGCAGTTTTGTGCAAATTTTTATCTTAGTCTCAATTCTTACACTAGGTTTCAGTCCAACCGCCTATGATCCACTGGCATGGTGTGGCTCACCAGCACTCAGACCTCAGAAACATAAAGCCAAAGTCATCACCTTCTGTACCAAACCAATTCTCCCACTTCCCCATTTTAAGTAATGGGGATTTCCAATCACCAAAAGTCTGAAGCTTTATCCTTCTTTTCCATCCCCTTCCTGATAAATTTTCCTCTGAATTATCTCATTTATTTATCTCCCATCCATTAGCATCATGTTGCCAATGTTTTATAACTTCACATGCATACTACTGCAGTTGCTTTCTAGTTTGTTTTCCTGTCTTTTGTCACTACTAGTTAAATCCAATCTACATATTTAATAATTCCTAAGTTCTGCTTTAATCATATCATTTCTTGCTCAAGAGCTACAACCACTTACTCCAAGCACTGCATCTAAAAAATGCCTGGCATTCAAGATTCTCCACAGTTAAGCCCCACTGTACCTATTACTCACTATTCCCCAGTATTAGTCCTCCACCACCCTTCATCTCCTGTGCACATCACATTTGTTCCCACAAAGGAAACTTATACTGCTTCCTTTGACAGAAATTCTCACATACTTTCTTACTCATTATCTTTCAAAATCCAACTCACATTTCTTCTTCTCCAGAAAGTTTTCCCTCACCAATCTCTACCTTCTCTACACTTTTGGAATCAATGTTTTGACTGCACAACTTGCAGTACAACTCTGGTATAATATATCATGTATTATTAGTGTGAAAGTTGTTATACCTACCACTGTTTTGTTCAGTAATAGAAATGTGCAGATAGTCTCCCCAACTCACCTGAAATTCCTTATGTCCCATCTCTGCACACTCTAGTACCTACCAAAATCACAGAGACACAATATTTATTGGTTGATTAGAATATAAATACCTCGCACCAACCACAATGTCACCATTGTCTAGAACACAGCAGCACCATATAGACTGAGCTGGAAGTCGGACTGTTTGAGCACATTCCCCATGTTTCCAGATTCTCAGAGATCTGTCTTCTCCTGTTGTCACAAAATCTAAAATCAATAAACACAGGAAAAATTAGTTTAAATAAATAAAATTAAGTACATTTATATATACCACTTTCTAGATACATATACTGACTTTTTTACCCTCAAAGTGTTTTAAAATTAGTTTTAAACTATATATATATTTTCCTATACTATATACAACTTCAAAAATCTTTTTTTTTTAAATAAGATGACCAGTAAAGGGATCTTAATCCGTGGCCTTGGCACCACACTCTCCCAAGTGAGCCATGGGCCGGCCCCCCAAAAATCATATTTTTAATTCATCTCATGTTACATCCCATATCTTGCACCAATAAATTAGAGTCTTTCCTCAGTTACCCAAGAACTTTTACAACACATTTATCTAATCTGAAGTGATATAAATATAGCCATATAATTTTTTCCATTAGGAAAAAGATATTAGCAAATAAAGTTACTAAATTATTCAAGTCGCAGACAGTACTCGTAAACTGATTTAAGTAATCAGCCCTCCTCCCCTCCTCAAGAATGGGATGGAATAATGCTCAATACAAAATGTTAAAATACAGAGCATACAATAATCTTACCTCTACAGTTCGGAAAGACAGATATGCTATAAATATAATTTGTATGTCCATAATATACTT